ACCTTGTGGTCATTATTAAAATTTTCAAATAATTCCTGTCATTTTTATGTAATTATTCAAAATTATTATCAAGTTTTATGTTACGAAAATCTGGTTTGCTCATGTATGGGTGTAATATGACATCACCATTCCCATATATATGTGTGAAAAATATGGCTAATAAATAGTTTGACATTAAATTGTAGTCTCTTCTGATTCAGTGATTGCCTGCTCCTTAGGAGGTACTTTTCAGCATGATGCATTTTGTAACCATGAGAAAAACGACTATAATTGACAAATATTATTAAACAACTTCATCATGTCATATATGGGCAAGTCTCAGCATTTTGTTGCAGAACCTGAAGAATTTGCCATACGGTCATGCGTTTTGAACTCGCCACCCATAGCGTTACATTGTCTAATTGCTTAAAAACAAAAAAAACCCGTCATTCATAATTTCTCGAGAAGTACTATCCCTACCTCAAGTAAAGTATACATTTTCTGTAAGGTAATTAAATGAGGGTATCAGATATGGCATAAAATGGATTACGGTGAGGTTAAATATTATGACTGGAAATATTTGTCTTTTTCGAGGATCACAAACATTTAACATTTTTCCTAGATTCATGTCACCACTTTCATACTACCTTTAATTTCATACCCTATTTGAATCCCCATTCAATTTCCTTCCAGACTTTTCATAGTAAAGATATATCAATGCAAACACACTGTAATTTTGAAATAGCATTAAAATTATGTTAAATTCTGAATCAAACCATGCATTCACATGTATTTATTCAATTAACTTTTTTGCAAAGAGCAAATATACATACAAGTTTATATTGCAAAATTTGCACATTACGTCTGTGTAGATTTCATCGGTGAGGGATGAAACCAGAGATAGATTTCACTACAGTAGTTCAGAATAACTGCTTTGAGTGTCACGTTTTGCCTTGTACTTGTGACTCTTGCGTGACATAGTTTCTGCTGCATATTAATGGCACAGATCACTTTAGGTCCTTTTGGATAATTCTGACTCCTTCCGAACTGCGTTTTTCTACCTTCTGAAGGCAATTTAAACTAATTGTTGACTAATTCCATTCAAAAACAAATTTGCGTTAGAATGCACTATACTATGAACGAACGTCCATTATACTGTATCACTAGCGCATGTAGGTAATCAGTGCCAGTTTCCATCAAAAAACAATATAAATAAATGACATCAGAAAACATATTAATATTTATTTTAAAGATTTTCCAAGTTTTCCCTATAAACCTACCAGAAAAACTATAGCACACAAATTTTAATGAGAAAAGTTGGTTCAAGTACGAGGGAATGTAATTGCACATCGTGTGTCGCCGTGAAGCGGTTTGCAGCAGAAAAATAATCGGTATTGTGACGAGAAGTGATCGTTTTAATGAAGATTAATTTGCAGTCTCCCACCGATAATCAGCAGTGTCATCAAATTCGTCGGCGATGACAAACCAGTGGTCTACTACAGTCTTGATCGTATGCTGCCAAGGGAAAAGTTTAGTACTCAGTTGAAAGGGGCCAGAAGGGCCAGGGGTCCCTTCTAATGCTCCCAGCAATCTAAGAGACGCGTCATTTATTCAAAAAAAAAATAACCAACGTCAAACTATAGTATAAATTAATGTGTTGATATTACCCCACAGCTGGCCACTTCGTGAGCGAAAATACTTTGCTGATGCAAGGGGCGCCAACATTTATCTTCCCCCAGGCCCTATGAACTCGCCGTTACGCCACTGGTACCAGCCGACCAATTTCAGGTGTTGGCATATAATTTAGTGTGAACGTACTTGTACATAAATATTATTCTGGAACATCATTGATTTTAGACATACACATATGTTTTATGTTAGAATATCTGGTAAACAATACGATTACGAAAAGCTGAACGTTCGTAAAGAACCATCTCACCTGCTGAAGTCAGCATATGCTGACGAAACAATCATGATGTGATGTATTTTCAAGCCTATTATTATTTAGACATGTTAAATAAACTTTGATAGTTTGGACAAGGTTAGTGCATAATTGGGTAAAGAAATTAAGTTTAATTTTGAATACTAAGCCTATGCCTATATAGGTTAGGCCTATTCAATTAGTGTACGTCGTGTAGCAGTATTTTTTTTTTAAATTAAGATTTATATATAATTAAA